CTGATACCTAGTAGTCATAATGTTTAGTCGTAGAGTATCAGGAGTATTATCATTTTTTAATGAAAGAAATATTAATTCATGGGAATCTGAGAAAAATCACAGATTGAAGATGTGGATTTAGATTGGCAGTTTTGTCGATTTTTCTCACCCATGGTGGGTCTTCTTTAAAAAAAAAAAAAAGACACTGCAGAGAGTCCATCTGTACAGTTTAAAACCAAAACATGTAACAAAAAAATGATTCCAACCTACTGATGTTTATCACAGTCTTTTCCTAATTTTAGTACTGGATAGCTCATAAAGAAACATGTATTTGAAGCTCAGCAATTCTTCATGTCAGTTTCTTATATTAATTTCAAATTCCTTTTGTGATATTTACAATCTTGTTTTGTAAAAGCTATTTTTGTTCCCTACTTGGCTTTCTAGATTCATTTTATAGGGTAGACAGATGTTGGAAGATATTCAGTAAATACTAGCATTAATTAACTCTAAGTGGTGGAACTTTGGGTGTTTTGTGGCTTTCACTGGAACCTGTTTTTGCCGAAATGGAAATTTTCATAAAATACATGTATTATTTTTAGAAAAACAATAAAGCTATTATTCTCTCCCAAAATTTTGAAATATTCCCTCATTCTCTTTAAAATGATAATAATTTATGAAAAAGGAGTTTTATTTTTCAATGGAGTAATAACTATCTACATTTGTTGTATTATCTGTATAATGAGTTTTCTTTCATTAAAAAAAATCCCTAGATCCTCAGGGAAGTCAGTTTTTGCATTAGATCTCATTAGAATCTGCAGAGAGGGAGTTTGTAAATGAAATTATTTATGCTATAATATTTGTGCAAGTATTCTAATAATATTGAATCCAAATAAAATGCCATTTTTTTGATAAAAGGTGGGATTGGTCTGCCTTTATGTATAGAATTGTCTTTATTAAATGCTATTTTCAAAATACAAGCATTTCTTTGAATTCCTGTGGCTAAAACAGACATGTCTTCTGTGTATTCAGGGAGGCTTAGCCGATTCAAACTAGCACCCTTCAGAACAGACTACCCTGAAGAGTGTTTCATTTTCAAAGTACTTTATTTTCTTAAAAAAAAAAATTTAAGATTATATTCTCGGGAAAGTATTTCACCTTTCAATATTTTACATGTAAGGGAAACTGTTACTACAAAATGCTGCCACATACAGTAAAGTGGGAGCTGACCACTAGCCTCAACCCTGTACCTTGCTAAGTGTCCTTGCCCGAGAACTCGTTGAGTACACTGATATCTGGAAAAAAACAATCTTTAGAGCACAAGTGAAATGATATGGATGAGTGGTTCTGGTCAAATTTTGCTCCTCTGACATGGTACCATTTGGATTCAGGTAGCATGGGAGAGAAGTTAAAAGTACAGATTTGGGGATCAGACTACTCTGTTAGGGACCCAGTTAAGTCCTACGGGAAATTACTGGCCATCTCAGCCTTAAAATCCTCAGTTTCCTCCTCTATAAAATGAAAGTAACACAATAATCTCAGGAAGACATGTGATTAAGATATGTAACAAGAGTTTAGGACAATGGACTGGCACATGGATATTGACGGAGAATTTTTAATGATGGTGAATTGATGGTGATGGTAATGATGACAACAGTGGAGTAAACTGGTCAAGATCACTGCTTCAACCACTCAGTTTTTCTTTGTCCTTAAAGTGATAACCTGTGTGAAAATATCTCAGAAGGGGTAAAGGAGAGTTCACTTTCTGAAACTCAGCATTAGTGAGCGAGGCAGTGAGCACTGAGATGGGAAGAGTTCTGGATTCTGATCCAGAGTTACCTCTCACTACTCAGTCTGCCACTTACTGAAAAATTTTAGGACAGTTACTTAAACTTTTTGAGCCTCACGCTACTCAAGAGTAAACTGAAAATCTCAAATGAGAAGACTTTTGGCAAAGTGAAAACTACATAAATAGGGGTTAGTAAGCCCCCCATCACCATCATAGAGATAATTCACATGAGGAAGAAGCCATCTACTTCGAAAGCAGATGGAAGAGCAGTGAGAATTAGGGGGCTCTGGGAACAGACAGCCTGGGCTTGAATCCAGCCTCTGGCATTACTAGCTGCATGCCGTGGCAGAAGTCTCAGCTCATCACCTGTAAAATGGGATAATAATAAAACTTACATGTCATAGAATTCATGAAGATTAAAGGCAATGATTCTAGTAAAGCACTCAGTAAAAGTGCCCAATAAATGTTAGTGTTTAATGATAATAATTAGTAATCTGTAAGATTGCCATGTATATTGCCATTTTTTATTAGGTTGTTGTCTTATTCTCATTTCATCTTCACTGAGTAGACTGGGCTTTGGTTTATTAACCAACTGGTTACAAGTATCATTTTTTAAAAATCGGAAACAGAAACTGAGTAATGTAGTATAGTGTGGACTTGTCTGTCTTTAAACATTCTTGTCTATAGCTAAAATCATATATATTAGTAAAATAAATACAAAATTACTTTGGCATGTGTACTAGTTTTTAGGACACAATGTATTAGTTTCAGTAGAATCACAATGACATATCCAATGGGCTGTAACTTTTCCATGAAATGTTTCATAATATGAAGGAAACCTGAAGCTCACTTTCTTTATTCCCTTTTATAAGGAAAATTTTCATCTCTTAATACTTTTGGAGGATATTATCAACGATGTGACACTGACATCTAACTGTTCACAGCTGCTCCTTGATAACACCCATTTCATCATTTGTATACTGGACCTTGCTCTACTAGTCTATGGACTGGGCTAAGAATTATTATATACAAGTGGCTTCAACCCTGATTAGGTATTAAACTTACTCGAGGAGCATCTGAAAAATACTGCTGCTTGGCCCAACTGAATCAGAACCTCCAGGGGTGGGACCCAGGCATCTTTGTTTTTTTTAAAGCTTCCCATGTGATACTAATATGCAGCCAGTATTAAGAACAACTGTTTTTAATAATGAGGAAAGTGAAGAAGATACACTGAAAATGCTAAATAAAAATCTTATTGTACATTTAGTTTAGATGAAAGTTCTAGTGGGAATAAAAAGGAATAATTTACTTATTATTTCTCTTTTACGCCTATAAACCCACCCATCGAGTTATTAGTCAATTTTCAGGATAATGGCTTTGTTCTATCTGACAAAAGGAAATCAATGGTTCTGAAGACTACCAAAGGTCACGAAGTGTAAAAGACCCTCGGTGATCTTGCATTAATCTTCACAAGCAGCTGTATACTGGAAATGAGAATGATTCTCTTCAATGGATAAATTACGGCATTTTGTGTTATTTTCCAATTATAAATGTCCATGAGTTTTCTTTAACCCCCAGTGAGATTGTCAACGGAAGCAAAACACATAGGATTGTGATGTAATATTGTCTTATATCTTATACAGATAAGACAGAAAATATGCCTTTTTTGGTACTTACTTTTGGTAATAGAGGAAACTCATAAGTATAGTCTAAAAACCAACTTTGATTATGTCCAACTAAACTTGGTATTCTATCAAGCCATAGATGTTCCTTGAGTGTGTATACAGAATAAATTGGATGAGTCTAAATACATAAGAATGAAATCTTACCAAAAATTTTCACAGCTGCCTCCTGTAAAAAACATATGCTAGTTCATGTAGTTGTCATCATCCTCTAAAATTATGACCCTGAGTTTTCATGTATTTCTTATTTCCTAGCTTTTAAATGTACTAGGTCCATTTATTTACTTTTGACAGTTGTATCTTCAACAGATCCAGAAAATTTGAACTAGACTACTGTATTTAATGTCTTTGCCACTCAACCAACAATTAAAAGGCAGAGCAAATGTGTTCTTAATTCAGAGGCTTATGTTTACTTTTTCTTCCCCGAAAAAATTTACCAAAGAAAAACTCTACAGGGCATTAAAGATGAAAAAGCATCCTATTCCGTGATATAACATTGCAAGGGGAAGATGCCAGGTTTTTAATTTTTTTAATCAGCTTCTTCTCCAGAGTATTCTTGGTCCCCTGAGGGATGCTGCAATCCTGCAGGTTAAGTCAAACGTGCCTTCTTCAGAATCGTTATTTGTTAAATATTAAAAGATACTTTATATTACACACACCCAAGTTTACAACACATAATTCATTCTTCCAAGGTCTCTCTTTCTCCCAGTAATCTCAAACTGAGCAAGGTGAAGGAGAGAATCTTAATGTAACAAAGGAGAGATGGATGTGTGAAGTATGAGGCTGAATAAAAATGGCTGAAAAGCAATCCAAGCGAGGCTGTAGGGTGGCCACACCCAGTGCTAACATGAAGTGTTTCAAAATAAATCTGTTATACCAGAGGGCAACTGGCACTGTTTTTTATTTCCCTCCATTTGTTCTACTGACACTCATTATTAATAAACAGTAGTTACAGTTTACCCCAATGACAGACAAAAACCCCTGCATATTTCAAAGTGAATCACCCTAATATGTGTCTACGCCATCATATTTTCAGGATTTCGAGAGCTATTCTGCATTTCCAGTCTCCTTTGTGAGACCACAAATAACAACCCTGAAATGGGTGTGTCCCTCTTAAAAGGATGCACTAGAGCCTTATCAGTCAATGCTTCGACCAGGAGATTTCAACCTTTCGGCAGAAATTACATGCGCTGGGATGCATGGAATAGTAAGTAAGCATTTTAACTCCGGGAATGAGAAGAGATGAAACAAATGATAAGCGGTTCCCAAAAGAGCTCCAGAAGGAGGCAAAAGATGCATTATTTAAAATATTAGCATTACAACAAGAAAACAAAGGGGTAGGGGTGGGGTGGGGGATTAAAAAAGATAGGGGGAAAAACCAAACAAACACCATCCTTTTCATTTTTAACATAACAAGTTTACTCCCCCCAACAGAAGCTCTTGATTATAAAGCATGCATAGGTCCCACAGGTGAAATGATGCACAATGGCCGAGTCCGGGTCCCCGAGGTTCCCGTGCGCCGCAGGCATGCACTACTGAAATAAAGAGAATACCCTGACTTTTCCAGTTGCTCCACACACAGTCCATCTTGGTGGAATCGGCAGTGGCCTGCATCGTGCGGGCTTTGGGGACTCGCCGGTGCTGTCCTCGGGGGCGCTGAGCGGGCATCTCAGGCGTCGGAGCCCCGGCTGCAGCACTGCTCGCGGTGGCCGCGGCTGCAGACAGACTGAGGCTGCACCAGCCGGTGCGCGCGGCGAGGGGCGGGCGCGTCGCGGGCGCCGCAGTCTCCGCGGCAGCGAATCAGCGCGGCGCGGCGCCGGGGCTGCCTGCGAGCACGCGGATGCGGGAGCCCCTGGACGCGAGAGTGTAGGTTCGCCGCCCTGCGGGTGCTGCCCTGGAGACAGTTAAACCTGTTCTAACTGGGAAGGCGCAAAAGCAGACGGGAGTGGGAGGTTTGGGAGAAGAGAGGAAAAAGGGCCAAGGGTGGGGATAAGAGTACAACACGTAGGCTGATGGTGCATATTCTAGAAATTTCTTAGAAACCTAAGAAACTTGTTGGGTAAGACATAGTTGATGGCAGTACAAATCTCAGCCTTTCGGCAGCATACCCCTCCCCCCAGTTTTCCTCATTGCTTAATCATGCCTCCACCCCAATTCTTTACATTCTGGCCACACTTTAATTGCCTGACATCTTCCAAACAATTGCCAAATTCTCTCCCTCTTTTGGAATAGTCCACAGATATCCAAAACATTTGTTGGCAAGCCACAGTCACTGTAAAGAAACTCTGAGGGCTTTTGTCTTTCTTCAGTTGCCCCTCTTCTCCAGCTCTGTTTGTGCACTGAATGAATAAATAATACCAGAACACGGTGCCTGTAGGCTCCAGATCAAACCCCTGGACTCTGGCACACAGAGCTATTGGTCACTGCAGTGACACTCCCAGAGTGGTCAGTTGTGGAGACAACCAAACAGGACTCAGGGAAGCAAAGGGCTTCTTTCTCAACAACATCATATTTGGGATTGAGTGCTGGGGGTTGATGGAGGGTGATGTGTATAATTTGGGAGATAAAGTTGGTTTCCAAGCCCCGCGAGTCAAGGGCTTTAAGAGCCCCCAGTTACAATGCAAAAGTCAGTGGGAAGAGCTGAACAATGTATGGTGACCTCCTATTCAACTTTTAGCATGAAATACTTTGTTAGATTAAATTCTAAGGTGTTGGGAGAATGGAGTGGCAATAGGTACAGTTTGATGAGGAAAAGGCAGAAATAGCACAGAGAAAGGACTGGAATTTGGGGATTGTCTTGGAAAAGAAAGTCCTGGTGGTGGGGACTTTTAAGGAGACAAGACGTAGCAGGAGGACAAAGGATGCCTTGGGGACCACAGTGGTAGATATAAGGAAGAGTTCCCACTTCATTTGTTGCAGCATGGCCTTATGTGTTACACAGAATTTCTTTCTCCCTCTTAGAGAAGTGGAGCCTACACAATTCTTCTGCAGTTCCCAGAGATGTTTCTTCCCAGACCCAAATCTACTTTTGTACATCCTGTGCCAGCAAGGGCCTAAGGACAGTAATCTCAAGGTTATGCTTGTGGACATAATTTATCTTTCATTTTATAGGAAGCATATATACTTTAAAATATGATCTTTAGGATCATGTATGTTCTTTTTAGAATAAAAGCTTCCAGAGAAAACAGCTAATGCTCTCTGCATGTCTTTGTGACACATCTGAAATTACTGTTAAGGAAGTACAATAAAAATAACTTCAGGAAGATGACTTGGCACTTCTGGGCATCTGAAGTCTTCTACAATAGTGGGGGTGTCAAAGCTCCCATGGGGCTGATGGGAAGGAAGAACTGTGACCACATTATTACAAAGCACTTTTCACACTGACCTATTCTAGGGTCAGTGACTTTATTGTATTTATATTCCCTATCCCCACCTCTCACCTCCCAATTTTTATCATCATGGTCATATTTGGGAATTCCCTCAGCAAAATACTGAAAGGACTGGTACTTGACGATGAACTCTCATTGCATGATATGGGGCTAGATGAACTGCAGATAGGTGGGGGCAAGACTCAGAAGGATGCCAGATGGGCACTGCTGTCCTGGCCACTTTTCAACTGGAAAGCTTTGGAGCCTCGGCCACTAGGAGGTACTGCCTAACCAATGATAGCCCCAGTCACCAGCTTCAGAAGGTATCTCAGGCATCTTGAGTAGTGAGTATTCAGTTCCCCTTTACTAGAGCCAGTGTGTGTTGCTGATCTAACAGTACTAAGCTAAGTGCAGCAGGACAACAAGCTAAGAGCAGCACATACCTAGCAAGGAAGAGTAGGCAGCGGCAAGCCCTCTCACAGGTGGAGGGTAGCTATGTCAGAACTCTTGGGCAATGAGTTTTCACTGGCCACAAAGTTGACCTTGGGATGTCAGCTTAGCTGAAAGACTGCATTTTTTTCAGTCATGCTAAATCTGGAGAGAGAAGCTTGATGTCCCCCCCTCAATCAATATAACAGTTTGATAGTTGAAGACTGAAGAAATAAGATGTCTGATGCCACAGACACAGACACATGTTAGTGAAATAAGAATTGGGTGGGGGAGCTTTAGATTAATGCACAGGTGGTAGGAGAAACATAAATGAACTTATTAAAAGGAAAATCAGGCAGAAGAGTATGCAGTAGATCTTGACTGGGGATGTAGGTGTTAGACCTTCCTGTTACAAACTTTAGTTATATGGCTTTCAGCAAGTCATTTATCATCTCTGGATCTCTCTCATAATATACAAATGAGTTATAGCTTTAGATATTTGTTTCAAGAAGAAATAAGAATTTATTTTCCATAGACATTGTAAATGGGTGCTTTCTTTGCACAAATGCCCACAAAGTATTAATTGAAAGCTCTTGGCAAGATTAAAACAATAAAATGGGTAGAAAAGATATGTAAATTGTCCTTAAGCACTGAAAGAAAACAGAAAGCAAAATAAAGCTTGCTAAAAGCAGGCAGGAACTGCCACTGTCTTTAAACCAAGAGAGAACAGACGGGCTTTGTATGCAGCCAGCTCAGAACTTGGTTTAGGTGCTGCCAGGAGAGGAAGTGATTTCTTTAGTTTTCAGGGTGAAATCGTGCATTAGACAGTCTGTTCTAAGGAAAAGCAAAATGAAGTTTTGTAATTTCATCCCAGATCAAGATGAATGTTGAAAGCTACCATGCCCAGAGTGGCTATATTGTGTTTGTCTATTATAGCATCAGGATATTACTGTTAAGACCCAATGGCACCTGCATTGATACATGTATTTAATAAATACTGACTGAGCACCTACTATATTCTGCACACTGCTCTAAGCATAAAGCAAAGTTCCTACCTTTAAGAAATTTATATGCTAGTGAGTATGGGAAGGGCAGATAATAAATAGTAAAAGAGGTAAATATACGTATTTAACTTGTGGAGACATGCACTGGGGAAAATAAAGCAGGTAAAGGTGACAGAGAAGAGGGTGGGATGGAAGTTTGTTATTTTATAAGTAGAGTCAGTGAAAGCCTACCTAGTAAGGTAAAATTAGAGCAGACACCTAATGGAAGAGAGGAGAAAGCCATTAAAATCTATGGAAAATGAGCATTCACAGATGCACTGAGTTTTCAGGACAGAATGTAATAGCTGGTAAGTTATATCAAATATTCTCATAGAACTTCTTGGTTTTTTTTTATGCTCTGAGAAGTACAGCAATTGGAAGAAAAGACAAAACCAAAAAAAAAAAAAGAAATACATTATGATCAAAGAACACTAAGAACTCTGCTTTATGCCATATGGAATAAGGAAATTTAAAGGAACAACCAATTTGGTACATAACCCACTGTACCAAAATAATGCATGAATTGTCTTCAATTCAAATAACAGATTAGCACTTGTTATTTGCCAGGTGCTTTTTCATGTAGTATATAGTTAGTTGTTACAAGATCCATATTAGGTAGACAGTGTTTATCTTCATCTTCTTGATTCATTCATTCCTTCAATCTACAAATGTTTATAGAGCCCATATTAAGTGCTTGTCTCTGAATACAAAGGGAACTGCCCACTGGGAACTTGAGTCTACTGGGAGATTTACACATAAATAAATGCAATCAGTGGCTTATATGAGCAGGAAAGAATGGATACACAAAACAGAGAGGTTTAGGGGAAGAGGAGGTTACAGGAAAGGCTTCAGATAACAGGTGATGATTAAGCTGAGTTATGAACAAGAAATAGGATTACCAGTTTGAGTGATGAGCTTTTCTAGCAAACAGATGTGGAAACTTTACAGAAATGTGCAGAGGCCAGACTGCCTGAGTATAATACTGTCAACAAATGAGGGAGACAGTGCAGGGTTTCAAGGAGAGGAGAAACATGAGAAATTGAATAATTTATTCAAAGTTGGCAGAGAATTTTCCAGAATTGATAAAAAACAAAAATTCTAGAAGTGAGGAAGACAAGTAAGAAATCAATACCCTGACCCACATCACAGTGAAACTTCAAGGCATCAAAAATAAGGAGAAATCTTAAATAAAAGAATATTACCTCTGAGAAACTGTTAGACCAACAGCAGTCTTTTCATTAACAGAAGCCAGAAGACAATGAAATAATGTCCTCAAAGCAGAGAGGGATCATCTAGAATTCTATATCCAAAAGACTAATACAGGCATTTTCAAATATGTAAGAAATGAGAGAATTTACTAATGACAGAACTTGCAGAAAAATCTATCAAAGATGGTGCTCCAGAAAGAAGAAAACTGAACCTAAATTCAGTTAAAAGGAAAAAGTGAAATGCATGAAAGAATGCTGAACATAAACAACAGTAATGGCTAATTTGGGGGGAGGGTTATAAAAGAAAGCTGAAACTAAAACATAAGACAAAATAGAACATAGGTAAGAAGGAATAATAAGAGTAAAAGCATTCTAAGATCCTAGTAGTGTTCAGGAAGACGATAGAGATATTTAAACTACGAAAAAGTCAGAGTTATGTGTTAAATATTTAAGGGTCACAATTAAAAGAAAATTAGAACATATAACATAAAACTTCTAAATAAATAAAATGTATAAAGAAGGTAATTAATTCAATCAAACAGAAGTCAAGAAATGGGAAAACGAGAAGCAAAGAAAATAACTAATAAATAGAAAGCACACAATAAAGTAGTCAAATACTTCTAAATATATTCAAATAATGCCAACTAAAAAGATGAAAGTTTTCAGACTGGATGAAAAAGATCTAGCCAAAGGATATTAAACAAAAGAAAACCCTAAAATATATTGACATAGAAAAGTAAGTAGAAATGGAAATACTACATACCAGGTTAATAAATTTTTGTAATAGTGACCTTGCTATATTTACTTATTAATTCTAATTGTTTGTTGGTTCTTTTGAATTTTATTTGTACATAAGGTTATCTT